ATATAAACGTAGTGTTAAAACGCAGATATTTGTTATTGTTAATTATGGACAACACTTAATTTCACCACTGGAGTGGTTACCCATGGTTATGTGTGTGCGTGCAAAACCACAAACATGGATCGGTGGCTAGCATCATGTTCTCTGAAGAGAAAAGAGGTTAACGTTACCGAAGATAATGAGAGTGAGTCGGAGGCATCTACAAGCCAGATTCCGCAGAAAAAAACAAAGAAAGGGAAGATTAAAGGTGACCTATTATGCAAAATGCACTTTTGTACGTCTTTTATACATGAATATGTGTCCCCGGTGTGTCAGGGAACTCACCAAGTGTCAGAAAACACAACCCTCTCTCTTTTCCTCCATACCCAAATCTCTAAAAACGGAGCTGATTATTATTTGAATTGTTCTGACGTCAGAAAAGGGGTGCTCCACCAATATGGGCAACTCTCCTCCTATCAGGGGAATGAGAGACCACTTGAAAGCGCTGGAGACGCTGTAGTACATATGCAAGGCCTGTAAATGGCGCTTTAGTCTGCCACAAAAGCAGAATCAGCCCTTGCAAAAACAGGGCTGGAAAATAGCAAATAGAGCGAAATGAGGCATGGCTAAAATGTTCGGTGTTTTGAGAAAAAAACTTCACAGACATGTTTTATATAGGTATGGCCCTACAATATATGTTTCAAATATAGCATGATGGGTCCACTTTAAGAGAAAATACAATGGGAACTACATGGAACTGGGATTTACCTACACAGGCACTGAAGATGAGCCTTTGCCAGTATGCGTTCTGTGCTACGAGACACTGGCTAACGAGAGCCTAAAACCAGCTAATCTTCGCCGTCAATCTTGGAATCTGGCACTACATTTATATATGTACTTATTTTTAGGGTTTGCATATGAGGTGGTCCGCGAAAATCCTCGATAATAAAAAGTGGTCCGCATGAACAAAAGTTTGATAACCCCTGATCTACAGCATATTCTATAGGATTACCATATTTTGGTATATATGTCCTGTGAGAACCACTTATCTTAAACTCAACTTTTCATGAGTTCCTCAGAACAACAGCCCTGTTTAGTGGCGATGGATTCACCAGCTGATTCAAGATGATTATTAAGAATCTTTAAAGCCCATTAAGGAACACTATTTCCTTCAGTTCATAGTGAACATTCACACAAAATGTAGATACGTTGTTGAATGTAACCGCAACTAAAGCTTTCAGAAAGTTGTAGTGCAGTCAAAGACACAATATCTTACTCTAATACCTCTTTCACACCAACGGTGCGATAGCTGCTATAATACAAAACAAAACGTCTGCCTCTCTCCACAATGATCAATAACAGTGAACGGATGGTCAAAGTAAGTTACAAATAAACAGAATCAAACTAAGCCTGGTTAGTGTTGCCTGACTTTATAAAGTGTGTTTATAAGCACTACTGCTTGTAGGCAGGCATGACGAGACTCTTCAGTCGACCCATGTTCAGGGGAGGTGGGTTTAGTTTCCTGCACTCCTCGACCTAAGAGAGACGTTAAATCCGAAGCTCTTGCCTCTAGACCGACATTTCTTTGGAGCTGGAAGTGAACCGGATTCCGGAGCTAAGAGGCGGCGCCTCTGCGGTGTGAACAGGAAAAAACGGTACTTTTCATGCTCCAGCTCTGAGCCGGAGCTGAAAACGTGTTGGTGTGAAAGGGGCATGAGAGGCTGCTCCGCTGCGGTGTGAACAGGAAAACCCGGTGCTTTTCAAGCTCCAGCTCCGAACCGTCCCTGAAACACCGTTGGTGTGAAAGAGGTATTAGAGTAAGATATTGTGTCTTTGACTGCACTACAACTTTCTGAAAGCTTTAGTTGCGGTTACATTCAACAACGTATCNAAAGTTGTGTGTACACCCGTTACTACCTCTGTGAACCTCCCCTCACTAACCCTTCCTTGCGGGGGGACTAGGACTTGGCCTCACCACCAAACAATGACCTGAAGACACGATCAGTACCTAACCGGTACTGTTTGTGGTAAGCTTTTATTCCTAAGAGTATTCACCATGTACCATGGTCTCGTGGGATCCGTCTTCCAGGTACTAGCTACTAAGCTAGCAATAGTAGGCGTGCACTCCGGCATACAAAAACCTGTTGAGCCATTTTCTCTCCCTGCCTCAACAGGTTGACAGTGGTAGACCACCACTCAACCCAGCTCACCGCCCTCTCGGAGACCTATCTGGACCATTCGGGGTTGCACATCAAAACCCACTTGACCTTGCAGACCCTCGTCCGGGTTCAAGTCTGGACATGAGTATGGCACGGCTAAGATTAAAGAGTCCCCTTCAGGAGCCCCATACAGGACTCTTTCCAGGGTCTCCAAGAAGGCCGTGTACTCTGAACTGCTGTTGGGTGCATAAGCACACACAACAGTCAGAGTTTTCCCCACCATAACCCGCAGGCCTCTCGTCCACTGGGGTAAACTCCAACAACGAAGCACCCAACCGGGGACTTGTGAGTATCCCCACACCCGCCCGGCGCCTCACACCTTGAGCAACTCCGGAGAAGAATAGAGTCCAACCCCTATCCAGAAGTAAGGTTCCAGAGCCGATGCTGTGCGTAGAGGTGAGCCCAACCAGATCCAACTGGTAACTGGTAACGCTCCACCTCCCGCACAAGCTCCGACTCCTTCCCCCCCAGAGAGGTGACATTCCACGTCCCCAAAGCCAGCTTCTGTCGCCCGGGTCTGGTCCGTCGAGACCCTCTGCCTTCACTGCCACCCTTCTGGCAGCGCACCCAACCCCATCGCTGTTTCCCGTAGGTGGTGGGCCCGCGGGACGGAGAAGCGGAGGTGTTGCCCACGTTGCCTTTTCGGGCTGTGCCCGGCCGGGCTCCGTGGCAAGCCCGGCCACCAGACGCTCGCCGACGAGTCCTCCTTCTGGGCCTGGCTCCAGAAGGGGACCCCGGGCTTCCTCCGGGGCCGGGTATCCTCACTTCGTGTGTCGTCTTTCATGAGGTCTTGTGAACCAATCTTAGTCTGGCCCCTTGCCTGAGACCAATTTGCCATGGGAGACCCTACCAGGAACACAAGGTTCCAGACAACACAGCCCCCAGGTTCATCAGGGCACACAAACCTCTCTACCACGGTAAGGTGCTGGTTCTTCAGAGATTTACCATTACAAACCAAATGTATTAATTCATGGGGAGACATTCACAAGCTACAGCAGAATATTAGGAATTAAAATGAGCTACGCATTTAGCTGCAATAAAGTGAAGAACACTTAAACACATCACTATTCTAATACAATATGCACTATTTCTAACAGGCCATTATGCATTATAAGTACTTTTACTTTTGTTAGTCTATTTTTATTTGGACTCATTTTAACACAATATTTCTACAATGGTTTTTAATAGCTTTACTTAAGTAAAGTATTAAAATAGTCAAATTCTTTAACTACTTTATTATAATACCAGTTCATGGTCAGTAAGTGCATCCTGAATGCAGCATGTGTCTGACTGGTCCCATATCACCAACAGGAAAGGGATGGGACGCCACCTACTGACGAGAAGCCCAAATGCAATTTATTTATCATCCAAAGAGCTGCATTTTTTTGCTCTCAAAACCAGTCACACCAAATTAAAACCATTCCCCATTTTGGGTTTTGAATCCCTATCTCTGGACTCATACAATAGCCTTTTAAAAAATTACAATATCTAGTTTAAAACAAAGACACTCTGTTTCGCCGAATAGACACGGAGCATGTTGGCTGATACACTCATTTCCATTTCAAATATTAAATGGAGAACATTCTGTTGTTATAATACAACACACATGTTTACAATGTTTTCTAAGAACATTTTTCCTCAGAGGTGTTTTGAACGGAGCCGGTTATTTTCCATTGTCTGTTAGCGAAACATTAAAAACATGCAAACATTGACATAGTGTGGCCGAATTAGGAAAGTACACATTGACTGAAAATAGAAATGAAAGCTGGCAGGCATCATTAGTTAATACCAATACTGAGTTTCTTCATCACTGTTACAATAATAGCAATGTTCAACTTGTTCAAATTGTAACTTTTGATTTGTATTACTATTTTCTGACACATTTGTCACAAGATATGTCTGATATTTGTTTAATAGGCTGAATTCATTACCCCACGTCTGGCCTTGTCACCTGATAGTTCATCAACATATCAATGCGCGGCCCACCTGGAACAACGTGGATGTTTTAAACATTGTTTTTATAACGACTCTCATATGTAAGTATATTTTTTAAAGTGTAAGAGTTGTCAGGAATACAAGAACCCCACTACTCACCCTATAGTTCTTAAAGTAACCTAAAATGTAGCATACATGTTCCTCGAATATGCTATCTTATTTTGAGTAGCACTTGTTTTGTGTCTCGACATGCTGACGGCAATATGAAGTCCTTCCCTCAACGAGCAGTAAACTACTGAAAGGTAAGCTGAGCCAGGCAGTCGGAATATCTTTGCTGTTGCAATGCTGACTGGTAGGATAGATGCTGATCATGCTGACCCAGAGACGGCTGTAGCCAGGACTCCACCCGTTAACACCCCGGCACATCTCCATGTTACTCTAGACCCGGAGCCAGTGTAACTCTGAGGCATCCCCTGGACCTGACCTGCTGCTTGGAAGGACAGTGCGTGAGTAGCTCACTGAAATGTTTTATATTCATGAAGTTAACTTTGTATGTCTGAGATTAAGAAAACCTGTGGAGTAAAATACTGTACTGTATGTGGATGCTTGGAAAGTCATTTAGCTGTCAGATGCAAGGTTATGTGAAGGATAAATCCAAGGTCCTTGTGAATGTAGCAAAACAATTGTTGTAAACAGGCTTGTTTGGGGATTTATGTATAAAATATATGTGAACATTTGTAAATGATCATTTATATTAATTAAGAAGAAGGAACTATTATATTCAGCCTGAATGAGATGGTAATAACTTGCTTTGTACATTTTATTTTTCAGGAGGCATAGTGTTTAGAAGTCAGCTTAAAACACATGCAAATGAATTTGTGCTCCACTCCCCAAGTGACCACGGCTGATGAAATCTCCCCAGGACTGTCTGGCATGGCAGTTGTAGAAAAGCGGAGTAACAGGGAGCACCAAGAAAAGCACTGTGTCTCTCTCCCAGAGGGACAGGTCTTAGTTAACACTCACCATGTGAAGCCTGACTCTTCATTTGGCGGCATTTGGGCTATGAACTCCCTCTCGGAGAGCAGTGACACTGGAATTCTTTATCTGAACCCTCAAACACCAAAGTGGTCCTTGGTGGAGAAGTTTGCAGAGCTTTCACGGGGAGAGGAATCATTTAAAGATGCTCCAGACCACCAAACTCGAGGATTGTTACAACGCACTAAACAAATAGAGAAAAATGCGATTTATGGATCTAATGAAACGCTCCTGGATCCTGTCCAAAAGAAGGAAAGTTCTAAATACCTCAGGAGTCATAGGATAAGTAGTGCTGCTGAGGAACAAAATACATCTAAACTCAAAGAGCTAAATGTTGTTGGAAATGAGATTAACAAGAAGAATGTAAATAAGAAATTACTGAAAAAATGTGACGGAGACAAGATCCCTCGACTTTTGGTGGCGATGAAGAAACGTGGTGAGGTTGACAAAGAGCACCGTCCCTTCAAGTGCCCACACTGTGACTGGGCTTTTAAAAAGCTCTGCAACCTACAGAGTCACCTGCAAACTCACAGTGGCCTCAAGCCACACGTGTGCGATATATGTGGCAAGGCTTACTCCCACCAGGGCACTCTGCAGCAGCACAAGCGTCTGCACACGGGGGAAAGACCATACCACTGCCCCTTCTGTGTCAAGACCTACATCTGGTCCTCAGATTACCGCAAGCATATCCGCACACACACAGGTGAAAAGCCCTACGTCTGTGACACTTGTGGGAAGGATTTCATTCGATCCTCTGACCTGAGAAAGCACGAGCGGAACATGCATACCAATGACAAGCCTTTCCCCTGCACGCACTGTGGCAAGACCTTCAATAAACCCCTCTCCCTGAAGCGCCATGAGCGCAAGCACCTGGGAGAAAGGCCCTTCTCCTGCCCCGACTGTGGGAAGGCCTTCGCTCTGGCCAGCCGTATGGCAGAGCACCAGAAGATCCACGCGGGCGTTCGTCCTTACATCTGCTCCGTGTGCTCCAAGTGCTTCACCAAGTCTTCCAACCTGAACGAGCACGAGGCCATTCACAGCGGAGCGCGGCCCCACAAGTGCCCAGAGTGCGGCGTGGCGTTTGCCATGGCTTCTCGCCTCGTCCGTCACCAGTACGTCCACAGCAAAGAGGAACCCCACAACTGCACAGGCTGTAGCAAGAACTTTAGCCACCTAGCTTCACTGAAGCTTCACCAGGAGCAAACCTGTGCCGGAAGGATCTTTGTCTGTGTGGAGTGCGACAAGTCTTTCCAGTGTGCAGCAAAGCTCTCACAGCATGTGCTGCACCACAGGGAGCAGAATATCTGAATGAGTTTAAAGACAGGTTTTGGACACCTCCACCAGTGCTATTGACTCTCACCGAGCACCCATTCTTATGTCAGGGGGCTTTTTTGGATTGTTTTAAGTGAGGTTAAATGAGGTACTAGTCAGTGTTTTACATAAAGTAGATGACGGTTGGCATGCCCCGAGTTCCAGCACAGGAGTTAAGCAATGTATTGGACCGGGGGGCCTTAAGAGTTTTTACTCACACGCCCTCTTTCCCCACGGTGCTGGGTTACCATGAAATGAACCTAGCAATTTCTCACGAACATTGACACTGGAGCTGATGGCCTAGAGTGATGTGAACATAAGTACTAGAGTTCCAGACTTTATAAAAGTGAGAATTAAATGTAAGGCTAATATTTACAAATATGCACAAAACCGCAACTTTGCGTTTAGGAAATGCGGGCGGTTTATCATGACCTGTGCTGTAGTATGATGCCTTGGTCTTTCTGAATCTGGTGGCCAAGGTGGTGAATCTATAACAGTAAGAATGGTTCTGAGCATTGAATTACTGAATATCAATCAAAGAGGGATTCACAAGATTTACATCACTAACTAAAGTATCATTGACATTAGCCAGATTAGATGACAGCTTTGATCACCTGTATTGTTGATGGTAGCCGGTACATTATGTTGTCCCGACAACTGGAGGGACAGCTTGATGTTCTCAGGCCACCACGAATAAAAAAACAACAGCTAAATCAACTTCTTCTGCATCAAGATGCAGGCTGTTTTATTGTCTGGTAAGGGCTGAATGCTGAAACAAGCAGAAATATCTGAATAAAGGGCTATGGCATGGATATAGACCAGTCGTAACTCCTGGCCCACTTACACTTGACTCCAAAGACTAATAGTAAAAGGAGACGGCACCTGCTGTGTTGTCATTTGCTTTGCATTAAGTTTGAGGACACGTCTGGAATCACAACAGGATTGCAGTGATGTTTTTATTAAATATGTGACAGGCAGAAGTGCACTGATAAACAGGTCAATAATCCATGGCCTGTACAAAAGCATTGACATATTCAGTAATACATAAAACACAGAGCCAAAGGACTCGGAAGTAAAAAAATCAATTACATCCAGACATGTTTACATGGTGCCAATAATAAAAAGTTTGTTCTAAAATATTCCAAAGCATATATTACTTTTTGATTTATAAACATTTTAAGGACACAAGCTTTGTCTTCTGAAAAACGTTAAAAACGGCTAAAAATAAAGCTTGTTCTGATAGGAAATATGAGCGTGTAAACAGCTCAATCCTATAATTGTCTCCTGGCTGGTGACAATTATAGGATTGAGCTGTTTACACGCCCCCTCCTCCTAACAACATATGGTATCATCCATCTTGGCAGCATGACAACTCTATTTTTGTTCTGTACTGTATATGTCATATATAATTCAAGCTATTCTGCTTTACCGATCCTTAACATGATCTAATAATGTTCATACATACATGTGCAATAATTGAGCAGCCTTACAAATTCTGCTTAGTCAGCGTGTAAGATTAAACATTGCTTCTATGAGGCTAATGAATGACCACGGCATTATTTTAGTTTTTTAGTCAGAGCTATATTTTAATGTATTTTTAGTCAAGGGGTAATTTTGTTTAAGGTTATAGACAATCGATAGTAAAAAATAAAGGAGTGGTGGAATGTAGATTTACTCAAATACTCTACTTCAATACTAATTTGAGATAGTTCTACCTTAAGTATTTCCATTTTATGAAACTTTTTACTTTTACTCCATTACATCTTATACCTCATTCACACCAACGCAACTCTGGTTCAAGCTCCGTGCTAAAGCTTTTCAAGTTCAGAACCGGTTCTTCGGTTTGGCTCCGGCTCTTTTCACACTGCCCAGAGTCCGACTGGTGCTGCGTCATTGCGTCATCGTTTGCGTCATGACGTAACCGTTTGCGTGCCTGCTTCATAAAGCCAAACCGCACGGAAACCCCTCAAAGCTGACACCGACAACAACAACAATGGCCGATTGTGCTCCAGCTTCCTCTGTACCTCTTCGGAAGACCAGATTCCCAGTAGGTAGCTGGCCTCTTCAGTGGACCACTGCTGCTTCTTAAGTTTCTCCATCGTTGTGTACAAACTGGGTAAAACGCCGGCTTTTTGTTGTTGTTCAGGAGTTGATCCCGCCCCTGCCCCCGCCTTGACGTAAGCGTGTCGTATGCTGTGCTTTTGCTCTGGCCGTGGCTTTGTTGCTTGAAACGAACCGGATTCCGGAGCTAATGCGGCTTTCACACCAGCGCTTTTCCCGTTCTAGCTCCGTGCTAGAGCTTTTCTGGTTCAGCTCCGGTTTCCCTTTTCTGCTCCCGCTTTGTTCACACCACCCAGAGCCCGACTGGTGCTGCCGCTGCTGCGTCATGATCTCACCGTTTACATCGCTGATTTGCTCCCCAACGGCGCTCACAACAACAACAATGGGGGACTGCGTCGGGTCGATGATCGTGTTGCTTTTAATCATACAAAGCCAGATTAGAATTAAATAAACGACTTCTCCCAACCTTATGCTTTTCTCCAGAGCAGCGCCGTGGTTCATTGTTTATTAATGTGTTTCAGCGGCATTTACCGACCGCTGCTGCAGTGCTGGCTGCCTCTTCCCACGGGAGTTTATTCTCCCGTTTAGCTCCGGTTAGGCTCACACTGCAGCTCTCTCTAGTATTCCACTGGTCTGAGTCACACAAGCAGCTGATCAATCGATGATCGTCTGCAGTCTGCTCTGAACCGCTGTTTGAAGCTGTGCAGTCTGGTTGACGCATGTCTGCATCACAAGCGCTGTTTGAATTTCTCTGCGTGTAAAATGGGTGATGTAGCAACCAATGCAACTGCTACTGTATTGCTATCGGCTCTGCTGGCATAGAACCGTTTTCTACAGGACCCACTCTGACCACTGGCCTCCGTGTCCACGAGCCCCCCCTCATGTGCACAGGACAATCAGCAGCCAGGTCACGCAGACCACCGAGCGCGTGACACCGGCCAGGCTACGCTGGCCCGCGCCATCCCGGCCAGCACCGTCGACGCGATGGCATCGAGGCC